AATGAAAGCGAAGAATTGACACATTCCGAGGAGTAAAAATGGTTGCGAACCACTGATTTGATATATTGGTTAACTGAACTAATTGTTGTACTGATGATAAAGGGCACCTCCATTTTGTAACTTTTTAAAGTGGAATTTTTCTTTTTGAATGTGTTGCTTTAGAGAGATATCTTCATTACTCTCCAGGACTCTGAGCGATGTAGGATTTGAAGCTACAAAGTTAGTTGGTACTGACCCTAGCTGACTGCAGATATTGTAGTTAACTGAATCCTATAATATGGGCTGCTTCTCTTGCTTTGAGGGGTCTTTTATTTTTTTACTGGCTCCCCATATAGCTACCGCAGTGCAGTTGCAGCAGATCGGTCTGTGGCTCTGTAATTCCTGATGGTGAATACTGCTGTGTTTGTGCACTAATATTTAACAGGAATATTTTAATGTCCATTATTTTTTGAGCAGATTTTTGCCTTGCAGCTTGGAATTTTTTGACTTATTAGTATAAGGGCAGAGGAGCGATGCTTCTGCAGTCAAGCCACTTGACTGGAACTCAATGTCTCCTTCATGACTGCGCCAAGGACTGTCTGCCTAAGGGATAATTTCTCTTTCATAAATGTGTTGAGTCATTAATGTTGCTGTGGTAATCAAAATACTACAGTGATGTGCAAATAAATGGATAGAATACAGCTTTACGTGCTTTCCACCATTAGGTTCTCCCACGCCATAGTTTTTAGCTGTATTCGTGCTTTAGACGGAGTGAATCTGTTCCAGTGGAGGCAGGAGTGGCCAGTTTAGCTTCTGTAATAGATGCTTAGTAATTTAATTTTAATAAATGCAGTACCTTAATGTTTGCCTATTACAAAAGATCTCTTGCAAGTACCCAATAGTTATATTAACCTGTTTTGCTAACTTCATTGTATTTCTGCGGTAACCACTGTGCACATACTCTAAACCCTCATGGTTTCAAATGTTTGTCAAACATTAGAAGTATGGGTCTAAATGCAGTATGACATTTGGTGTTTGTCAGGAAACTGTAGCTGAACCTGTTAGCTATAAAAAGGATCATAGTTCTTGAGATTTCTATACCTCTACTATTAGAATTAGTTCCTTCTTTGAAACATCCTGTTGCAGATTATTGGGCTTTCGTTTCTGAAATTTGGGGGAAGAGTATAGACCAAAGAGAACCTGAATTATAGTTGCATCAAGACTCAATGTAAAACATCTTTCTGGCTTTATATGCAAAGAAAAACAGTATTGAATATACCGTTCATTTTTTTTTGTCAAATTTTTGGGTATGAAAGAATTCACTAGTATACTTGACTGATGCACAAATGATTCATCTAAACTCAGGTTAATGTCTGTTATAATCAGACTGCCAGAATAAATAGTAAAAAGAAAAATATTTGTGCGCCACACTGAAATAAAGGTAGTCGAGGAAAGCACTCTTACATTTGTGCTAATGAGAGGATTGGCATCCAAGTGACCTATCCCACTGCTTTTGAAAATGAAATTGTTTTATAAAGGTAGGTGGAGTAATCAATAACTCAGTGGAGAAATAAATTGCTGCTCATTTTTATTTGCCCCATGTTGTAAATGCATCTGGTTAAGCCTTCAGAATTGTAGCATGTTATAGAATAGGATTGTAGCTCAATTTAGGAAAAAAGGTTTTATTGTAAGAGAGAAAACGGACGTAGTCAGCAGCTATAATAATGTGGACAAATTAAAAAATCGCCAAACTGTTACCCAGGCCCAAAAACTGTTATTCATACAAATAATCTAAACCTGCAGGATTCAGTCCCTTGACTTCAGGGAATTGCTTGAGCAAGTTTAAGTGTGACTGTGTTAGGTCTGGCAGGTTGGTTATGCTGTGAGCTGCCATACTTAGATAATGCTGTTTTGCCTTTGGTTGGGGGGTGGGCGTAACTACTCGCTGTCCTCAGATCGATTGTGGTTTGCAAGCTATACCAGACAGGTTAGTGGGTTTTGGTTTTGTGTTGTTTTTGTTGTGTTTTGTTTTAGCATTGGTTGAATTAGCCCTATTGGTACAGGGGAGGCAGTAGGGTGGTAACATCTACACACTGGTCTACTGTCTGTTCAGGAGTAGCCCCAGGTGTGGCTAATGTGAACTGGAAGCACTCTGATTACTGTCTCTTCCCTGTTGTATGCCTCCTTTGTTAGCTGTCCCGCTCCATTGCCTCCTTTCTTGCCAGATTGCACAAACCCTCAGGAAACTATGTAGGAGTTTAGTTCTGCTAGCATCTAAGGGAACAATTTAGCAAAGGATAGTTTCTCTTCCTTACATGGCTGTATGAAAGATGAAAAAAGAAACTGAGAACCAACCACACGTTTTAGCTCCCTTTTTTCATCTCAGCCCACTGACAGGCTTTAACCCTGGGATGGGCAAAGTCTTGCCCGCAGGCCAGATCAGGCCTGTGGCGGACTCCATTTTCCAGCAGCCCCTGCCCATGCAGCTCCCAGCACCCGGCCTGGTCCCACACTTCCCATGGAGACCATCCAGCAGCTGTGCAGGGAGCTGCTCCAGGGCCAGACTCACGTGGTGGTGAGAACATGGGCTGGGGCACAGCTGCAGTCTGCTGCCCACACGTCCCTGCCACAGGTGGGTTGTGTGGGCAGGGGCCTGCGGGGAGTGGATCACGGCTCTGCCCAGGCCCCATCCCAGTGTTGTTACCATGGCAAGATCCAGGCCCCAGAGCAGCTCCCGGCCTGGCCATGTGCCCTGCCCAAGTAGCTTCTGGCTGGTCTTTGTTGAGAGCTTGGGGTCATGACGGGGCTGGGCTGGGGCAGTCTTGGTTCTGCAGTTCCACACTGTCATGCGCCCAGATCTCCATGAAAACTGACCAGGAGCTGGGGGGGGGGGGTGTAGCGTGGTGGCTGTGTGTGAGTCGTGTCTTCCCCCCCTAACCCTAGTCCTCCCCCCCACCCCCCAAATCGTCGTCGTGTTCCCCCCCCGGCGTGTCCGGCTGCCTGGTGAGAAATTCTGGTTAGTAGAGTGTGCCGGTTACTAAAGTGCCGGTTAACACAGCTTTTACCATAGTTGAAAAAAACAGTTTTCAGGCACAAACACCCTTTGGCAGGCTGAGGAAGCACCTGCAGATGGTCTGTGCCCTTCCTGGGCGCAGTGGTAAAGCAGCCTGAGGCCAGTATGTATATCAGAAAGCCAGTCAGTTAACTGGCTATTTTTCCAGCTACTTGAGTTGGTCTAATAAAAGATATTGGATTTACCCAAAAAACCTTGACTGCCTTGAAAATGCCATGCATTTACATGTTCAAATAGAGCCCTTAGCTAGGAACTTGCTGGCTTTTAAGTGTCATATTTACATTTCTGGTATTGGGTTACAAATATATTTTCTCTCTCAAAACTTTTTAAGAGTAACTGAAAGTAATTTCTCCTAAATGGACATCTAGATTGTATTTTGGTCTCTCTCTAGCATTTAAAGAAACACTTTTAAAATTGCTTGTCTAGGCAGCTGAACATAAGAATGCAGTTCACACACAGAGCGTGTTTCAGTATCTGTGCATATCTTCTTAATAAAGCCTTAGCCTTTTGTGATGTCAAAGCATCCAGCTTCCTTGACTGGTGTGGAGGCTGCTTCAGGAACAGTGTGTAGGAGGATGATTGTGTCACTGGAACCCACATCACAAAGCTACAGGTGAAAGATGCTGTCCTTTTTTCCCCCCGATTGTATTTCTTTCTGAAACACATTTACTTGGAATAGCTGCAAATAACACCATACAGTAATGTCTGTAAGAAACACAAGAGAAAAAGATTTCTGTAGTTAGCCCTGCTTTGTGAAAGTCTTTCACATGAACAGAAAAAAGGCATTTTAAAAAGAAAATGTAATTGCAGATATGGTCACTGCCATTGTAGGTAATGGCTGAGCATTGAATTGGGGAAGCTTCTATGGCTAATATCATGCTTCTCCAGAGTGCGTTAAAAAGATGAGTTTTATATAGCTGGCTGCCATCCATTATGGATTGGGCCAATAGGTTATAAAACACGCACAGATTGGCAAGTGGTAGGTATAGTTTGAGGACCATTTATAACTCATTTGTGGTTGCAGTTAATGTGCATGTTCAAATTCATGCTTAAATTATAAAATAGGTTTAACAGCAGTAAATCGGCTAAGACCATATACCTCCAAAGGAAGATGTGATTACTGGTATGTCTGCCAGTTTCGTATAAAACCACAAAAACAATTAGAAACTAAATGTAAGTGTTCACTCCCATGTACGATAAACAACATTGTAAAGCATGTTTACAACTAGCTTTTTTTATTGTTTCCAAGCGAGTGTTCATGTACAGACTTCAGAGCCAGAGCAGATTTTGTTGCCAACTTGTAAAAGCTTGAAAGTAGGAATTAGTGGAAATGTAGATGTTTATTGTAGCAAGTGTGAATAGTACTGCTAAAAATAAGTTGGATCTACTTCAGTTCCGTGTTGAATACTTAATTCTGTCAGATGCCTGTTTTAAGACCTGTATGTTTGTTTGTTTGGAAGAAAAATAAGGTATTTTACATTTTTATTATGTAACTTTATGCGTTGTATTTACTCTGGGACAGGGGTTGTCAACCGGGGGTACGCAGGGACGCCCTGGGGGGTATGTGTGGATGGGTGGGGATGGAGCACTGCTGCTCCCCAGGAATAGGGCCAAGGGGGCAAGGGCAGCGGTGCTCCTCTGCAGGCCACATAGGCATCGCCTGGCCGGCTGGACGCAGAAGGGGTGGGAGGAAGCTTGCATGTGAGGGCCGCCATTGCCAACCACCACCCCGTGTTGCCGTCACTTCGTGTCTGGCTGCACACTTATTAAAAAAGGTTGAAAACCCCTGCTCTAGGAGACTTAGGGATGAAGTCATTCAGTAGTCTGTTGTTTGATTTCCTCTTTAGAAACATCAGGTGACAGCAGAAAACTTTCTTTTAATGTCAAATATATGCTTACATCTCGTATTTGCCCTCAAAATGCCTAATCAGATTTTTCTTTGTTTCAGCTTTACTTTTAGAAGCTCAGTCAACACCTTTTCAAATCACTCCTTCAACCATGGCAAATATTGTGAAAGGCCTCTATACACTAAGACCAGGTAAATATTCATTGCTGCTTTCTGGAATTTCCCATTGTGCTGTCAGAACAGCTTATATGCAGTTGTTAACTAAATATTCTGTATTTTTTGATGGACTCTCACATGGGTGTCTGGTGCCTCTTGAGTCAGCGGGGTCACATGCTGCCACCCCCCCCCAACCCACACACACACACCAGTCAGTGACCAGGGGCATGGGGTCCCCCGATGGCCGATCCCACTGGCTGGGTGGGGGGCGATCTCATTCACCATAAAAGCGGCCACGCCGCTTCTGGAGCTCCATGGCCACTTTCAGAAGCAGTGCGGCCGCTTTTGCTGGCAGCCCTGCTCCCTGGCTGGCACTCACATGGCGGGGACTGGTGCTCCTGCTTGCACCCCTGCCCACTGGCTACACAGGGAGTGTGGCCTGACGGGGTGCACGTGCACCGCCTATGCATTACCCCTGGACTCTCATGATCTGGTCTGTTAATATTTAGCTGGGTTATGAAACGGCACAGTGGAATCATTGCTGTAGTTACAGTAGATCTCTAGGTGCCAATAGGCATGCTGGGAGGCTGTTCTGATATGCTGTTGGCGCAGACTTAATTAATCGGGTGTGCTCGAATGTACTAATTAGCATGTTCCAGCCAGCCTTGGCATCTCGAGTGTCAGCTTCCCTGTGCTTCAAAATGGCGGCAGGGGTGCTCTAACTAGAACTCGTTCGATGAGCTTTAGTTAGTGCCCCTGCCACCATTTGAAAGTGTGGGGACATTGATACATGAAATGCTGTGGGCGCTTTTAATTAAAACGGGTCTCTGAGCCACTCTAAAGTGCCCTTCCACCCACTTCCAGAGCATGTGTAAAAATGTCATCTGTGTTTAGCTTCACGAGGAAGATGGATGCGAGTTGTCTTCTCACCTTATCAGAACCCTCAGTTCTTTAAGTGTAAAGTAAAAGCAGAGGATTTCAAGTGTTGGTGCTTTGCTGCTTTGTATTATTAAGAAGGGATGAAGCTGTTCAGTGGTCAGTCATGGAAACTATTCCAAAGTAGGATAGATGGACTAGTGGGAATAATATTGGTTAGTTCTGCAAGAGACCTGGGATCATATTAGATGGTTCAAATAGCCCTTCCCTCTTTGATCCTGGGATTTCAGAGACAGCTTTGGTATAACAAAGAAATAAGCAGTTTATTAATGCATGCAAAAGCTTTATTTCACTCTTGCAAAGTAAAGTGTATTATAGTGCAGACATTGTGTCCAACAGTAATTTTTATCAACAGGCCAAGACAATTATGGTATATTTGGAATATTTTTCATGCATTAAGCTTAATTGGTACAGATCTCTAACATATAATTTGCAGTGCTAAAAGCAACCCTTATCTAGGGCTTGTATTCAGATGCCATTTAACAATGCAAGGGGTATTTAAGGTGGCTAACACCAATTAGTGCTTTCCATTTGCCATCTAATGACAAAGCGTATAATTTTACTAATGTTGAAGCAACATTATATTTGTTAAGCTTTTATGATTGGTCTATATTACATATCCCTACCATCAGTTGTATCTAACTGTAAGGATGGAAGAAAATTTGGGTTGGAGATGCTGAGAAATTCTTGCGTCTGAAACAGGAATATTTTTACTTTTCTATATCAAATCAAGCATAATACAAATGAAATATGGCTTTTTCACTCATTCTGACAACATTGTTTGTTTCAGTTCAGTAGGAAGACACAAACCATCAATTTATGCAGAAGTTAAGCTCTTACTTTAGGAAAAAAGCCTACTAATAATATTTTGTTTTTAATTGTCAGCTTTTCTACCTCCTGGGTCAGAACACTTGGCAAGCCCCTCCCTTAATCCTCCTCTGCTGATTAGGTTGTCAAGAGTCATCCATCATGCCATCATTTGACCAGAAAAAAATGGACTAAAGAACTAGACTTGTGTTAAGTGACTGGCTGTCACCTTCCTAATGCCAGATGCTTAAAAATTGAGTTGTTGCCCAGAAATTCATGAGCTCTCTACACAAATATTTTTATATATGTACTGTATTTACCCAAGTCCAAGATAACTTCAGATTTAAGACACCCACCTAATAATGTTTTATACATTGAAAATTATAATTATTAAGGAGCTTTCTTAAAATTTTCCTTCACTGCCACAGAAGGAGGACAGGTAGCTTAACTCCTCTAGCTGCTTAATGTGTGGTGACCCTGGCCCCAGGCCCAGCCAGCTAGCAGCAATAGCAGCTCTGGCTCCAGCATCAGCCCCAAACTCAGGGCAGTGGCTGGGGCCAGAGCTGCAGCAGTTCTTGTGCCATAGCCCAATCTCCTCTGCTTCCCCTCCATACCACATGGTCTCCCCTGCGTATCCCCTGGGCTATACATTGCACTGTCTCATGCTTGCTCTTTTCGCCCTCCTTCCCTCTGCACCATCCAGTCTCCTCCCTGCTCCATTCGTGCCCCCACAACATGCTGTCCGCTGTCCTCCTGTCCTCCCCCTCTGCACAAACTGCCCTGTCTGCATGTCTGTCCACATGCTTGTGCATGTGCACAGTAAGCAAATTGACCACAGACCTGCTTCTTTTGTCAGTTTTTTCCTGGTCTGAATAATCTAATCATTGCAGAAGAATGAAGGTTTAAAAAAAAAAAAAAAAAAAAAGATTAAATATGAACCCTAATGATGAGGAAAAGAAAACTATTTCAGCTTTTCTTTACAAATGTGAAAGCTAGAAACTTTCTTTTAGATAAATGAAAACTAAGACTCTTGCAGTTGTATTAATTGAGGATCTGGGCTCTAAGAGCAGTGCCAAACATTTCCAAACCAGATTTTTCAGTACAGTCATGCGTTGGCAACACCGTCATGATAAGTTTTAATGTGTTATTTTAAATCCTGAATAGGGTGGTTTTGATTTAAAATCACTGATCAGGATGCCTCAATTTAAGCATTGTTTTCTATGAAAAGTGTGTTCTGTTGTTTGATATCCTTTATTCATTTAACTTCTTGAAACTTTGCACTTTTAGGGCATTTTTACACGAGCAAGCACCACAGTGTGCGTCACTTGTAGTTGTACAAGTGGCGAAATGCACGTCACTGCTGAGAAAAAAAAAAAAAAAAGATTAAATATGAACCCTAATGATGATGAGAAGTAAACTATTTCAGCTTTTCTTTACAAATGTGAAAGCTAGAAACTTTCTTTTAGATAAATGAAAACTAAGACTCTTGCAGTTGTATTAATTGAGGATCTGGGCTCTAAGAGCAGTGCCAAACATTTCCAAACCAGATTTTTCAGTACAGTCATGCGTTGGCAACACCGTCATGATAAGTTTTAATGTGTTATTTTAAATCCTGAATAGGGTGGTTTTGATTTAAAATCACTGATCAGGATGCCTCAATTTAAGCATTGTTTTCTATGAAAAGTGTGTTCTGTTGTTTGATATCCTTTATTCATTTAACTTCTTGAAACTTTGCACTTTTAGGGCATTTTTACACGAGCAAGCACCACAGTGTGCGTCACTTGTAGTTGTACAAGTGGCGAAATGCACGTCACTGCTGAGAAAATAGCAGCAGCACACTTTTGAACTAAAACACATCGAAGCTGTTTTAGTTCAAAACACGCTGCTGCCATTTTCTGTGCGCTGATGTGTGTTTCGCCACTTATACAACTGTATGCGGTGCAGTGCCATTTGCATCAGCTTATGGGCGGAGCAGACTTGATTAATTGCGTCTGCTCTGAAGCAGCAGATCTCCGGCATGTTGCAGGACAAAAAGATGTGTATAAATGCCCTTAGAGAAAGGCAAAGGCTTGACTGTGTGTACACAAACTTACAGAGAGATAATAGGACTGATCAGTGGGTAATCAGGTCTGTTATCTCTCATCTCCACATACTGCTGTTAACAAGGATGTTTTCTCTGGAGACAACAAACTCCCTATGCCTGAAGAAGAACATTTATGCCCAAAAGCTTGCAAAGAACAATTTTTCCAATTATTTAGTAGTTCTAATACAAGATATTGCATCTACCCAAAGAACCTTGTCTGCCTATGAACTGTGGAGAGACAAATCCACAGTTTGAGAACTGAAACTAAGCATCACAGAGATGCTTAATGAGAGGCTGAGCACTGAGCTTTGGGTAGAGTGGTTTTCTTTAATCTTTCCTAATCTATACAGGAGCCTCTGGGAACCCCATAATATTGGCCCCCTAATATAGCCCATGGCCTGTTGTGGCCTATTTATAAAACTTCTAAAAGGGTTACATGAATATATTTTCTCAAATAGTATATAATTAGAAGTTATAATCCCTATTCCATGATGATATCTTTGAGCTTTAACATCTTTTAAATTAAAACGATCTTTATATGTTGTTGTTTTTTTTTTAAAAGCATTGTAACAGAAAATGTAATTAAATAAAAAACAATCTGATTTAAATTTAAAAAATCCATTTTTTTTTTAATCATTGAGTTTTATCCACCCTGATCCTGAACTTGGATTTTTGACCTGCTTTCCCATTGGCTTGACTAGTAGTATATAGTCCTATGAGTAATTGTTTAGATGCTTATTAAAGTATTCGGATAAATATAACCTTTTTTAAAGTGAGATTTCATTTGTAAACAGGTGATAATTAAAAGATCCACATGCCCACTGAAAGCCAAGCTATGAACAATACTCGTCTTTTAGGGAACAGATTGTCTTCAGTTTGCAGTCTGGAAAGAATATTAAGTGCATGCTATATAGTACTTAGAATTGTTCAGTTCTGTTTGACAAAGAGACAGCTTTAACATAGCTTTTATGAAGAATACGTTAAGTCTCTTAGTAAAATTAAGAGTAGGCTGAACAAAGGAAGATAACGGAGTTGCCAGACAAGATGTACTTTAGGTTGTTAGGGAAAACAGGTTCTTTGTTTTGAAAGAGATTCTTCGGTAGAGTCGGTTCTTGATGAGAAGGATTAAGAAAATATTAAAGGAGCAGGTGCTTTGGGAGACTGAGACCTTTGGCTCAAATGTTGAAAGCAGTGTCACTTGTAGATGACT